GATGGCACCGTACGATTTTGCGTGGACTATCGCCGCTTAAACAATATTACGAAAAAAGATGTCTACCCGCTACCACGAATAGACGATGCTCTTGACTGTTTACAAGGCGCCGAGTACTTTACATCTTTGGATCTGCGTTGTGGGTATTGGCAGGTGCCAATGGCTGAATGTGATCGCCCTAAAACAGCCTTTGTAACGCCGGATGGCCTATATGAGTTCAAAGTCATGCCATTTGGGCTCTGCAACGCGCCTGCCACATTTGAGCGCATGATCGACACCATCTTGCGTGCCCACAAGTGGAAAACCTGCTTATGTTACCTGGACGACATCGTAGTCTTTTCATCTGATTTCCCGACACATCTTGCTCGCCTCCACGAGATTCTGACGTGTCTAACTTCTGCAGGCCTACAACTTAACTCCAAGAAGTGCCACTTCGCAGCACGAAAACTAACCATCTTGGGACATGTCATCACCAGAGACGGTGTTCTTCCGGATCCCGATAAGCTTCGAGCTGTCGCTGACTTTCCGTTGCCCACATCTCTGAAAGCCCTAAGAAGTTTCGTCGGTCTCTGCTCCTACTTTCGTCGCTTCGTGCGCAACTTCGCGTCCATCATCGCACCTCTCACGAGTCTGCTTTCCAACAGCAAAGGCATATCTGCATGGTCACCTGCATGTGACGACGCATTTCGCCAGCTCCGCCGCCTGCTGACCTCACCACCTATTCTTCGTCACTTCGACCCTGCTGCGGCCACAGAAATTCACACCGATGCAAGTGGCATCGGTCTTGGTGCAGTTTTGGCACAACGGAAAGGCACCCAAGCTGAATACGTAGTCGCCTATGCAAGTCGCGCTCTCAAGAAGGCTGAATTGAATTACTCCGTGACAGAGAAGGAGTGTTTGGCCATAATCTGGGCGTTGACGAAGTTTCGCCCGTACCTTTACGGCCGTCCTTTCGACGTGGTCACAGACCACCACGCTCTATGTTGGCTGTCTACCTTGAAAGACCCGTCCGGACGCCTGGGGCGTTGGGCACTTCGATTGCAAGAATACGACATCCGTGTCGTATATCGTTCCGGTCGCAAGCATGCGGATGCCGATGCACTTTCGCGATCGCCATTAACACCAGATGTGGCTTCTCTGTCTCCCCCTTTTACCACCTTGTCACCGCTCGACACGACTGACATGCTTTCGGAGCAGCGTAAAGACCCACACCTTGCCTTGTTAGTCGACTACCTTACCGATCCGTCTGCTGTCCCTTCCACGAGAGCGCTACGCCGGCAAGCAGCCCACTTTTCCTTACGAGACAACATTCTGTACCGCCGTAACTACATGCCTGGTGGTCGGAAGTGGCTCCTTGCTGTCCCAACTCATATGCGCTCTGACATCTGCATGAATTTCCATGCAGATCCCCAAAGTGCTCACGCAGGTGTCCTGAAAACCTACGAAAGGCTGCGCCAGCGCTATTACTGGCGAGGAATGTATCGCTTTGTGCAGAAATACGTTCAGTCTTGCACCACTTGCCAACAGAACAAGACACCTCCGCGGCACCTTACTGGCATGTTACAGCCGCTCCCGTGCCCGGCTCGCCCATTCGACCGCGTGGGTATAGACCTCTATGGCCCCCTCCCATATAGTATCTCTGGAAACCGGTGGATTATTGTCGGAGTGGATCATCTGACACGCTACGCTGAGACTGCAGCTCTACCGGCAGCGACCGCCCACGAAGTTGCACTCTTCATTCTCCGCAGCTTCATTCTACGCCATGGTGCTCCGCGGGAATTACTCAGTGATAGGGGTCGAGTGTTCCTGTCGGAGGTCATCCAAGCTATCCTCGCTGAATGCAACATTATCCACCGGAAATCTACCGCATACCATCCACAGACAAATGGTCTTACTGAGCGGTTCAACCGCACACTTGGCGACATGCTGAGGATGTACACCTCCTCCGACCACACTAACTGGGACGCTGTATTGCCCTTTGTTACCTTCGCTTATAACACCGCGACGCAAGCGACTACCGGTTTTTCCCCGTTCTTTCTATTGTACGGCCGCGAACCTTCCCACCCACTCGACACTATACTACCGTATCGCCCTGATGCATCTGAGTGCTCCCCGCTTTCCGAAGTCACCAGATACGCTGAAGACTGCCGTCAGTTGGCTCGGTCTCTGACAAGTGAGGCTCAAGGCCTACAAAAGACTCGACACGACGACGCTCACCGCATAGCTCCTACATTTCGTGCTGGCTCCCTTGTGTGGCTTTGGGTGCCCCCGCACGTTCCTGGCCTGTCTTCAAAACTTCTGGCCCGGTACCATGGTCCCTACCGTGTCATTGACGCGACCTCCCCGGTGAATTACGTCATCGAGCCATTAACACAATCACCAGATTTGCGCCATCGAGGACGCGAGACCGTACACGTCGACCGTCTCAAGCCCTACTACGACCCCCTCATTGTGCCTACTCCCTGAGCCGCCAGGATGGCTACCCTTCACCCCGGGGGTATTGTAGTGGAGCATACGCACCAACGCGTATGCGCCTTCGGAAGACAACGAGAAGCCCGTGCTCTGATTGCGCGAGAACCTGTGCCGCCTTTGCCAGACTTGCTGTTCGCCCATTTTCCGTCGCGACCTCGTTGCGACTCCTCTGTTCTAATAAACATCATCGCATTATTATTATTATTATGTTCTCGAGCCCTGACACCTTCGCGTGCGCACTACAGTTGTCTAGCACGAACAACACCTTTCCAGCCTTGGCCGCAAAGCGGCGGTCGGGCTGACACAGCCAGGCTTGAAAGAGTTCAGCCGTTATCCAAGCCTTTATGTTGAACCGGTAGTCGACAGGCAGCTGCTTAATATTCTTAAAACATCTTGGCTTCACAGCCTTCCCGATCGCCATCAGCAGCAGCCATTCTGTGCCGATCATGTTAGCAGCCGGAAGAACTGTCACGCACTCTTTACTTCGTTTTCCACCGACGCACAGGTCCCCCTTAAACGCGATTGTCTTGTCAGGCAGGGCCTTATAGAACAGCGCTGTCTCATCAGCGTTAAAAATGTTGCACAGCTCATACGTATAAAAGAGCGCGAATAATGCAGACCGCCAGCCCTGCACAACGCTTCCGTCAACCGTACCTCTTTCACCCCACACGTTGTGGAACACCAGCCCGTGTCGCTTCTTGAAGCGGTCTAACCAGCCTTCTGACAAATTGAAGGAGTCCATGTTCATGGTCAACACGAACTTCTCTGCTCGTGCACAGATAAGGGGGCCGCTCAAGGGCAAACTCGCATCGTGCAAAACGGCAATCCAGTGCACAAGCACTTCTTCTAGCTTGGAATGCGCTGCCGTTCGAAGCCTCTTCCTTTGGTCGCTAAACATGTCCCTGTCATACGCTTGCATAATCTGCTCTTCGTTCTTCACAAAAGTGCTCAGCGTGCTTTTCTTCACATTGAACTTTTCCATCACTTCTTTTCGAGATCCTCTCGCTTGCAATGCCTTCAATATTTTTACCTTCGCAGCCAAATTCCTCTGCTTTGTACTTCACCCTCTTTGCTGCGGGACTTGGGGCGATTGGGGTCGCAGGAGACGGAGGGGAAGACATCTCGGCGTCGCTCGCGCGGTGTCACGCACGCGCGCACGAAGTAGAAAACACAAACACACACACACAGAAAAAAAACTCAAGTGATAAAAAAGAAATAAAAAAGTGAACTTGTCAAAAAACAGCAAACAGTAAGACGACAGATGGCACTAATCATGTACAGATAAATAATTTAAAGCACACAAGAGGTGAGCAATCCAACTCAATCGTCCCGCAAACGTGTTCGACGCACAAGAAAAAAAGAAAGGCAAATCTGTGAGTTGCCCGTTGCTGATGGCAGTAGCCATGCACTGCCTTCCATTTTAGTTGTTTAAACCACTGTGTGTGTGTGTGTGTGTGTGTGTGTGTGTGTGTGTGTGTGTGTGTGTGTGTGTGTGTGTGTGTGTGTGCGTGTGTGTGTGTGTGCGCGTGCGTGCGTGTGTGTGTGTGTGTGTTTAGGAGGGATGAGAGGTGGCTCCGAGATGTACTACCCATGGGCGAAGTTTTGAATCACAGAGGCCGCAATCCGATTCCAAAGTTGTTTAGGTGCGCCGTCAATATTGCCGTTAAGATCCGCTGCTGCTTCCCCGCCGCGACTCGACTGCGGTCAGACGTTCGAATTAACTGAAGCGCGACCGAATTTGTCCGAATTAATGAGTTTGCAGTCATAGAATAATGTACATTTTGCACGGGACCAGATGTCGTTGCCAAATTAACCAAAATTCCAAATTAACGGGGGTTAAATTAATGAGATTTTACTGTACAATTGATAAACCAAATTATGAATATAACAAAATAATTGTGGCTCTCATTCAAGTTCGTTATAACGAGGTTTTAGTGTATTTTTTGGCTGATGTTCACCGTAGCATGCTGACTTCTCCCTTTTGAAGGGGAGCTTTATGGTACATTTCAGCAAGTACCTTACCATTGCTTCAATTGCACCTGTTAGCGAGGCACTACCAAGAAGTGACACAGGCTCGAGTTTCTCCAAGGGGCAGACATTGCTGAAAGCATGATGTTTTGAACTTCAGCTAACCGACATATTAAATTGGCTAGCCACATTTGTAGCATTCAGCCGGTCTTGACTTAGTACAGAAAATGTAATAAATGTCCCGTTATTGTTTGCAGCATTTTCGTTTTCCTCTTTTCTTGAGAATACGAACCTCACACGTTCTGACATAAAAAAAGAGTACTACTTAGTTATGATAATACTTAAAAAGAGTACCTAAATATAATGAGATAAGTCATAATGCAACCAAGGCCTCCCACAGAATCAAGAGTGCAGCAACGACAAAAAATAAGAGAAAGAATTGGTACGAATCAGATCACAATCTGGCTCCTGCTTTGGAACTTGTGCCTGCTCAACGTAAGGCACCGTTAAACAAGCAAATGATCACTGCTCAGAGCTCCATGTGCCCTTCACGAGCTTACCGTATCGTCCTTCTTGAAGCCAATGCTGTCAAAGAAATCCTCTAGTGCCGTGAGACACCTTTCGAGGACGTTCTTAGACAGAGGTAAGGTTTCCTGCCAAAAGAAGTGAAGTCGTCTATCAGCATTGCACTACATCTCAGATAGCCAGAAGAAACATGGTAACAAGCCTCATACAATGAATACTAAAGCACAGATAAAGCATTACCATTTGAAAACCTCCATCTTACAATAACGGGCAAATACTAACCTTATTACCATAGTGCTTTGGGTGTGATGGTATGCCATACTAAAGTTTGTAGCACATGAAAGAACATGAACAGAATGGTGTCACAAATGCACACAGTGTATGTGTGCATCACACCTTTTTTTGTCTAGGTTTTTTCGTGGGCTGCAAAACTTCACTGATACTAGAACAACAAATTAACATTTTTTTTTCACATGATGGGACTTTTATCCGTGATACGTTACTATGAAATTATATATGTATTTCGAAGCTACATTCATAATAAGTCTGCAGTGATTCAGTAAAAAATTTTCAAACTTTCAATGCGAATTCTTTGGCCAGGTCACACTAGAATACAGTGCAGCAAAGGTCCATCAATAAAAAAAATTGACACATAAATAGTTTGCACAAGCGCAGTGATCAAAATATAAGGTATCACAGTGTCACATACAAAATTTCCAAAGCAGCACTGGCACACTCTTTCTCATACCTTTCATTTTGCAGAATTTTTAAGCTGATCAAGACTCTTATGGCACAAAAAGTGAATGTTTTGTTGCACTGCAGTGGACTAATTTGTCACTGTAAGTAATATTTAGGGTTTATTTTAGTGTTCCATAAATGTGGAAATGTTCCCATTCAAAGGGTGTACAAATTTGCTTGTCTATGCAATATCAACATGTAAAATCTATACGAGAAACATGAGCCAGTATTCGCATGCACAGGTAATTAAAGAAATTGGATTTCAGTGCAAGGTTATTAAATCCTCTAACAGTAAGAGATTGTAAATAATATTGCCTAAACAAAGTCCTGTACAACTAAACTACAATATGATTACAAGACATGGTATGTTAAAATGAGATGACCTAGACAACTTTCAACCACCTAAGAGTTTTTATATGCCTTTAAACTTAGAATAACAGGAGTGGACTGGCATTTTGCCCTATCTAAATGTCAAACATGCAGATTTGAGCTAAGCAGCACAACACATGACAGTGCACGTAGAGTGTTCTCACTGTGAGATTGACTTTTCTTGTATTGTAAAAGCAGGACTTACTAAAAAAAAAATTCCAATTACTTTTCTCCTTGGCACCTCCTTAATAGATGCCCAAGGGTTGATAACATAGAAAAAAAAAATAAGAGCTCTTCAAATTAATGTAAATTGCTAATTAGCATTAATGAACTAATTTCACAAAGTAGCAGAGCTGTCTACTATATTAATGGTTTATCTTGTTCAACCTGGCAAGAAGTTAATAGTCTGCTTTCAATCTGCTATTTCAGTAGATAAATAAAATAAGAAAAATGAAAGTGAAATAGAGGACCCAAAATGTGCTACACTATTAGCTTGTAGTGAGCAATAATCAATGATTTTAAAAAAAAAATGGTACGCACCTCATTTTTGAGGTGCGAGATGAGAGCCCAGAGGGGCGTCGCCGAAGCCTCCAGTTCAGCTGAGAAGGCTGCATAGTAGGTGTTGGGCTCGAACTCCACGTGCTGTGTCAGCTCTCGCTGGTTGACATTCATGCCTATTTCATAAAATACAGAGGAAGAACAAGGGAAAGCCAAACAGTGAGCCACCAGCCGCAGCCTGGGTAGTACCAAAAGAATCACAGTTTTGCTACAAGGGCAAAGCAATACGTGCAATAGCAACGCACTAGAATATCATACAAAGTAAGGCTAGCTTCTAACTTCTTTACATTAGACCCGACATAACAAATCGCTGACGTGAAGAAACACAGAGGCCACTATGGGCAAAGTGACATTCATGCCGTCGATATCTTCAATGCATAGTAAACAGTGAGAGCGCAGCCCTTAAGTAAAACATGAGCTGTCTGCGGACCTCCGTCCAGATAACATGAGCATGACCATGGTCGTTAGACACAAGTGCGCACTTCCAAAGAGAATGGGGCAGCCTTCTCTCCAGCATCCATCCATGGAATTTCACATGACAAGACACGACTGGTGCGTTTCGTCTCTGCTTGAGCCGTGAGTGGCAGCAGTCGTCGCACACTTTCCCCACTTGCACATAGAAAATACGATACAAGAGGAAATGCTATCAATTTGGACTTGGGCGAAACACGACAGCAATGACAAAAATGCATCTCGGGTGCTCATACAGTCAATTTCGATTGTTTCAAACTCGCATATATTGAATTACTGGCTATATCGAACAGTTGAAAAATCCCCTTGAATTTTTCATGCAAAAGTCATCAAATCCCACGAATGGCATTTTTCCTAGCAAATATAGATCTATTTTTGGATGCGTTCTAAAAAGTTTGGAGGATACGTTTTTTCTAGCTCTTCACATCAAAGCAGCTGAGAGCAGCGGCTGCCAGCTACAAAGCCACAAGTGGCATTATTATCGCCAATATGACAACCGATGGCAACAGTGAGAACCTTGTGTTGTCTTTCGGGCCTTGTGTACTTCTCGCCTCATGCCTGATAAATTCTGATTCGGGAGTTGAAATGAACCTTGACCCCCCACATAGCGATAAATATTGTGACTGGCCCTTGGAGTGACGTCAAGCAAAGTTTCATCATAAACTTTCTTTGCGGGCGAGGTGACAACTTCGAATGCGTCATGACCGCTGACAACAGTGTATGGTGCCTCAGTCAATTCGCTTATTCGAAAAGCTTAAATGCTATTGAGGATGACTGGAACTTGATGGCACGCAAGAAGCAAGACAAGTTTATGGACTATTTCCATGCAAAACAAATTTCAGTAACTGCAGTTCACACCTTGTTCAATATACTGTGAGCGAATCATTATGTTAGCACTTGTAACAATTTCCAAGGCCTGAAATGCTTCAATTTAGGCCTTATATATGCATATTCAGTACTTCGAACTATTGGTACATCAATTATTTTACGATCGCCTTTGAGTTCGATATATCCGGGTTCGACTGTATATCGCCACGAAAGACTGCCCCTATAGAGCACTCGGGTCCCAATGCACCGCACCTAGCCAAATACACCATAGGTATTACAGAGTGAATTGCACTATGGGCATAAAATCATTGACATGTTACTCATCTTACCCTCAAGGTGTAAACACATGTGGCAACAGAGAGGGGAGGAGGCAGTTAGGCAGAATGCAATGAGCACTCAATCTCACAAGTCTTGTCATTAGTCCTCTGAGTGACATGACATCGCTCTTTATGAGTGGGCATTACAGTATTATAGGGCGACAAACAGACACCACATAATTTTTTGTTTCCCACTTAAAATGCCTAAGCAATGCTCTTTTAAACGGATCAGACAGAAAAACACAAAAGCTATGATGAACATTTTTTTTTGAAGGGGGGGGGGGGGGCATATCTTAACCCATAATAGTTCAAAACTCCTTGATTACTTTTATGTCCACCTAGTTGTAATAAGTATGGAGACATTTTTCACTGTGGCTATATTAACTCTCAACAATCTGGTCACCACATGTATGTAAGGACAAAGTGCTATAGTTTCACGCACCAGTGCTCTCTGTCTATCAACGTCTATTGACTCGGGAGTTGACTGTCCTCAGTATTTATACGACACTGTGATAAAAGTGCCTAAAGCCATTCTTCAAGTAATCATCACATAGTTTTTGTGTAGAAGTTCATTGCCTCACAAATTAGTTGAGCCAGAATTTTTCATGCATGGCACATGCAAGATAATATTTACCCCTTCCCCATTCCTCCTCTCTTCTCGAGGTTCACCAATACAGGCACACATGCCTGTCTACTTCTATACGTCCTCGCACACAATCAGCCAATTCCTCCCTCCTTCAGCGAAGCAAGATGAAGCACTGCCTGTAGGTAAAGCATATCTGGGGTGGAGCAAAATCAACTTGCCTTGAAACATGGAAAGCAGAGAGAACCACATGTCGAGGAGGCGAGTGTCATTGAGGAACTCCATGGCAACTGGCCGGTGGGTGAGGATGTTGTTCAGGTCGCTCACCAGGGGCCAGTAGCAGTGGTCCTTAGCAATGCGATGGCCACAATTGACCACATAGTGGAAGTTGCGCTCGTTCTCTTGTAGGGTGCTGGGCTGCAAGATGAGGGACATCATGGCACGCAGGCTTATCACCATGATGTGAAGCAGGTGGGCCCTGCGTGTCATGCGCAGCGACAGCGCCTCGTTGGAGAACAACTGCACGCTCACATGCACCACCCGGTTAGACAGGGTCTCAGAGTCCGTCGACTGCGTCAGCATGTAACTGATGCGACTGTAGTGTTGCACGAAGGTCTGCGTGAATGAATCCTGCATGGACGGTGGTGGAGAAGGGGTGTTGGAGAGAAGATTAAGTTGAGGCAAGGAACACGGATGGCGAGTAAGAGGCACTGTGGTTGGCAGACATTTGCATGAAAACACCACAGGAACTACAGACATGAAAATACACAAACATTACAGGCCATTGGCTGTTCACTAGCTAAGCAGCACCGGTTACAGTGTTTAAGTGCACCTTGCAACACAAACAGAAAGAAGTGTGAGTGGGACTCAGTGCTTTTGGATTTTATTTTCTCTGGATTTTACACACTCTAGTTTGTTTTTGGTCTGACCTTTTTAGAGACTATTCCAGCTAAACAAAAGTTTTGTTTTTTTCTTTAGGAATGCTGATATAATCTCAACCAATTTGTTGTCCAACTTTTATAATGATCACAGGTTAAATTATAGTCGTACCTTGTAAACAATCACAAGACTGTTGAATGGGCAAAGGAATGCAATAAAGGGTGCATAAACCCACTTTTCTGCCAAAAAAAAAAAAAAAGACAACAGCTTCAAAATGGGACAGTACACCTTGCATATAGAGTGCACACGCACCGCCTAGCGCGCAGCTTTATTTTTGCATGAATCTTTTGTGTCTATCAACTAAATTCACAATTATAAGACCCAAACAGCAGCCTAATAGTCTGGAGTTTTACATACCATAACTAGAGTATGGTTATGAGGCATACAAGCGGGCAGTCCCCAGATTAATTCGTCAAAGTGTCCTTATGTTTGTGTTCGTCCCCAGCAGAATGTGGCTGCTATGACTGGGAATCGAACCAGTGTCCTGGAGTGTTGACTACCAGTTGCAGCCTTATAGCACATGAGCTATAAGGCCGCATTTGCTGTACAGCACGTGTGCTATAATGCTGCATTTGCCGTGTAGCACATGTGCTATAGAGCAACCTCAGGGCCCACAAGGGAGAATCTTTTGTACATGTTGCTTCGATAAGCACAGAGGGGACTGAATGAGAAAGGGCAACGTACCTTGTAGGTTATGTCGGGCAGCATGTTGAGCAGGAAGCAGACTAGCTTCTGCGGGAACTCAAACTTGACCATCCAGAACACCAGCTCCTCCAAGAAGCTGCGGTGTATCAGGACAGGCTGTAGTGCCGCGATTTCTGCACAGATAGAGAACAACGAAAAATGTGCAGGTAAATCCAGGCAAGATACAGGACAAAAATAAGAGGGAATGATCTCACATCTATAGTATAAATATGTTTCAGGGTGCTCCCTGAAAAAGCCCAAATCTTTAATATACCCGACTTCGTACAACGTAAGGTGTCTCTGGAAATAATGGAGGCACACTTCAAACAAATAGGCCCAGCAAGTGTTGCCACGGCTGAGAAAAAGATAATTGATTCAAGATCGAAACTGTTTTCCCAAGTGAGGCCTGGCACCCCCCTGATGTGGGGGAGCTCTTTAGTCAGTCATGGAAACCTCTGGCTTCAGCTGGCTTTTTGGCAATGGCAATGAGTTGTTGTTGCCAGGGCTCCCACATCTTAGCTAGGTGATCTTAACTTGTTTCCAAACATCTCCAGCTGCCTTCCACTGTGTCCATGCCACAATTATACTAGGAGCAAGTGTGCCACATTGCTGGTACGTTGCAGGGCAAGCACAAGTAGCTGTGCTTTGTACGAGTCTCTCTTCTTAGCCAAGTTCGGGGTGCAGTGAAGGGTACTCCTTGCACCCAAATTTGTAGTGTTGAAGAATCCCCAAATATTCATTAAATACAGCTTGTATAGCTCCTGCGTTGCACCAGGCACTATGTGAGGAGATAGAAACCCAGCTGATACGCTTGGGAGTAGCATGGACTATTTCGATTCGCTCGTGGCCATTGTATCAGGGCACACCCTTTACGCAGGTGTTGGGGAGTGGAGCGCTTCATCATCATAAAATCCTGAGTGCATCAGCTGAGATGTGGCTTCTCCAGAAGTTCCTAAAGGCACCCTCGATGTCCGCAAAGATGACTGCAGCATCTGTGCATGTGATGGCAATAAAAGCACTTGCAGCTTCATCTAGTGTTTCTGGTTTGTGACCCTTGACGGTGGCTGATGTTAACTTGCTGCCTCAGGTGTTAACAACATTGAACGGCTAATGATCATGATCACAGCAATGTGACTGCGATCTAGGTCTTCCTCAAACGTTTCTTTCTTGGTGTCAGCTTTGGCCAATCCTCCAATCGTCTGGTTGTGGGATGCATGCTGTACAGGGTACATGCAATGGAGAGGGACCCCCTATGTCTGGTGAGATCTGATCTTTCTGGTCTATGTCAGCAACATATGTCTAACTGTCAGGTGTTGGAGTGCCGATCTTCTGGTTGACATAAGCTTGAGCCGGCAAGCGTTAAATGCCCAAGTAGATGTAGAGTGCAGGCTTTAAAGGTACAAGGCTCGAGGAGACTTGTTTAGTGGCGACCCAGCACTTACTGTTCGAAGCTGTTGCAGATCTAACGCCAATAACTCAGAAGCAAACCAAGATGGCCACCATGAAATGATTTTTCAGTACTCTGTCCCGTTTTTGGCACTGTGCGTCTACATTTTGTTTCTTTATCTAAAGGGCTTGAATGGGTATCACATAATAATAACTGTCGAGACTTAATATCCCAAACCCACGATGTGGTTATGAGGGATGGCTTAGTGAAAGGTTCTGAAAATTTCGACAACCTGGGGTTCTCTAAGAGCACCTAGACCCAAGTACACGAGCCTCGGGCATTTTTGCTCGATCGAAAATGCGGCCGCTATGTACTGAGCATCACAAGGAAGGGATGTAAAGTGAATACAAGCGGGTGGTTCGTGACATAAAAAATGAAAAACCGAAAAAAAATCATACTTGCAACAAAACCTTCATACCATTACCTTCATTGCAAACTTCATAGAACGAACTTTAGATGCATTGAAGTTTCCATCATTCTTGCTCCCCTATGTTCTGTGCACGTGTACTTCAAGCGATTTTAAAAGCACCACCAAGCAAAATGAATGCCTAGTGCAGCCCAGCCATTGAATGAAATAACAGAAGCTTTGAGTGGTGCTGCATCGACTGTTACACGGAGACTAGATATACAAAAATGAAAACAGGCATGAAGTAGTGGGGCAGTTGATGCTTGATTTCTGTACCTTACAGGTGTGATGGAATGGTCATGCCGTGAGACAAACGAGTTATATTGAAGTGCTCTGCACAAACAATACCAACTTTATTTAGCAAGCCTCGTGCAAAGGGACCGTGTTATATCGCAATGCCCGATAGAGGTGGAAATGTTGTAGGCCCGTGTACTCAGATTTGGGTGCACGTTAAAGAACCCCAGGTGGTTTAAATTTCCGGAGCGCTCCACTACGGCATCTCTCATAATCATATGGTGGTTTTGGGACGTTAAACCCCACAAATCAATCAATCAATCAATCAATATCGCAATGCCGTCATAAAGTCGGCTATTTTTGCCCTAGATGCACCAAGGGTGTCTGCATTGTTTGGCACTTAATAGAATGATGTGGATACTACCACTAGCTCTCGTTCCTTCACAGCAATGTGCCTGTATGATATGCCCATGGCGTAAAATATTTCACTTGTTGTACGCATGCTCCTTATTTTCTCGAGACCTTGGTCAGTGTTGGCACTGTCCACCACAGTGGGTTTTTCTCAAACACTTTCAATTATGGTGTTGCCCAATTCTTTATTTGTGACAACCATGAGCATCACTGGAGATTAGGTCTTCAAGATCTTCAAAGCTGACATCCTCAGGTCACCACTCTCCTTGCACAGCTACTGCCACGCACCCGGACACGTGGCAGCAGCAGAAGCATGGCATTTAGGGGTACAGGTGCTTTTCTGTTTTCTACTTCAGCGTCGTGTTCCCCAAGCAACAATGAAACAACGATAGAAGCAATAGTGTTTGACGTTGGTAAAATATACAAAATTAATTTTCTTGCCCGTCGAAACCCGTGTGGAAACAGCATCCGAAAATTACTTTGTTAACTCAAAAGAAGAAAAGTATGTCCATTTCAATGGACGCAAATATCCAAACAGGAAAAGTCCATTACGTCGTTAAATTCATTACATCGAAGGTCAAATGTAGAACAGTGAACAAGTTCTCAAAATACAGTACACTAAATTGATGTAAAGTGCATGGTGAAAAAATATTGACATTTCTATGATATAGGGAGGGCAGATGTATAAAAGCTTGACAACAGCTACACTAAGAGCTCATGAAGCACATTTGAAAGACAAGCCAAGCAAAGCACCAGTGATGAAAGAACTACATGACAAATGGTCTGTAACATTACAAACATTTAAAATGTGTGTCTACCTGAGGTATGCAGCTCATGCTCATTCATACATATAGGTTAAATGGGCCTAACAGTGCTATCACTAAGAAGCAGCTGGTGAGGGGCAGGGGGGCTGGCTGCCATGCAACGCTACAGTGTAGATGCACAACAATGCCACACCACAACCGGTCACCAGCTCACCTTCCTTGAACATCCTGTACTCAGTCACTGGAACAGGAGTAGGAAAGAGAGAAAGACCACCACAGTTGTGCCACCCACAGAACAGTGAAGAGTACTTTCTAGTTCATGATCAGTTCTACTCTATTCCCCACCCTGCACTAGTCATAGAAAACAGCGTAAAAAGGCATGGGCCATCTTCTGCAGAAGACATAACCAGGAGGAAAAAATGAGTGTTCATTGTGTCATGCAAGCATAAAAATGCATTTCTGAGGATCTTGTATCCTGAAATAAGACATCTCGTGTGGTCAGTCGCCCTGCCCCATTTTCATGCCCAACATGAAACACCACGATTAGGCTGAAGCCGATTCAGGCGGAACACTCATTGAGCGGCATGGCTCAGCATGTACAATTGCACTGGCCACTCTACAATGGCCGAATCAAATGAACTACAGAAGTAAGAAAGATGTAACAAAGGCCACCCAATTTGAAGCCACTGGCCATTAGAAAGACATGAAATAAACTGACAAAGGGCAGTTTCTTCCTTGTAAGGCCGACACGCTCGTGGAAGCTGTCTATGCGGCCACCACTGAAATGGCAGCTCATGCAATCACTACCCTATTGCAAAAACCAGCGCCACTGGGTACCAGCGTCCAGCGCCATGCCTGATTATGGGACCAGTATGGCACTGGTACCAGCACCTCCCAGTGCAAGTAGTGGGATGCTGGAGCGGCAGCGTCCCAGTGCTCTGTGCAAAATGGCTTCACAGGGTTAAAACGGGGGTGCCCATTTGCCATAAATAAATATATATATGGGTAAAATAACGCACACTCACATCGAAAATAAAAAAATTAAAAAATAAAAAGTCTCTTGACGGGATTCGAACGCCACCTACTGAACTTGAACCAAGTACGCTACCCACTACACCACGCCAGAACATGCATATGGGGTTGTAAAATGACTATCTACCCGAGAACGCACTGTTAAACTTCATGTTTACAAGGCGCACCTGCCAAGACTGACACGATATTCCTTTCCAAATAACAAATGCGTCTTGATTCCACAGTGACGACCGGCTTTCGGGCACCGAATGACGTGCGGATATTTGCAAGAGCGCAAAGTTTTTTTAAGCATCCACATCTTAACTCTGTAAAATCTCGAATTGTCTGGAGGAGCAGCCACAGATTGTCAGCTGTTGCTGCCGATAGCCTTTTTTCCTTTGATAGTCAGTTCTCGCACTTGCTACTGGCCAACATGTACAGCTGATTTAAATGTCTTGTTCAGTAGATATCCGCGCCCACGAGTGAATATTGAGTATTTTTTTTTTTTCGTGTAAGCGACGATGTAGCAGTACACATCCAGCGTGCCAGATTACATATTTGCAGTTGTATCGATACCTGCAACTAAGAAATTACCGAAGAAATGACTAATGCAACCCGCTGAAAAAATATGCCAGTATGTTAGTTCACTAATGCGTACGAAATTACCAACTCAAATATGCGTGTTTTTACATACGAGTCAGAGAAGTACCGGCTCCTGCGCTCAGAAGGAAGCTTTTGGTGACAGCCTACATTGCTGAAAGCTCGACACATCGACTGTCACCACTTCTAGTGCGGGCACCGCACACACAGATCAATGGTCGATTTAGGCTCAGGGATGTCTAAACTGTACTTTACAGTCAT